CCAAAACCAAGTTGGAGCTCCTTAGGGAAAGGAAGCCAAAGGGTACCAAGCCTAAGGACAAGACCAAGGCCAAGCCTAAGCCAGTTAAGGAGAAGAAGCCCAAGCAGAAGGAACCTCTGGGCAAGAAGCCCCTCAAGGCTGGCTGCTACAGGATCTGGAAGGGCAAGAAGGTAGGTCTATCATCCTTCAAAACTTGTGCATATGAGGTGTGTGTTCAAGAAATGTCATGTTAGCTTCTGCTTTTCAAATTTTCTTTTTCAAGCTTACTACATTAACCCATTCGCGCCGGGTAAAAATGAACAAAAAATGGGGGGAAATGCCGTGCTCATTTTTTCTACTTTTTGTGAAATTTCTCTACACTAGATGGTTCTGCCTTACCTGATTTCATTTGGCGGGAAAATGTATTTTTACTAGTACAATGAATATCGATGGTTATTTTTATTATAAACATTATAATTACTATAATGTTAGTAACAGCAAAGTAACGTATAATATTTTCGTAAATTCAAGAAAAGGGTAAACAGGCGAGACAGGCAGTAAAAGTACAAGTGCAGCCATCTGTGTAAAAACAATTAAACAAGTAAACTCACAGTGGGCCCGTCACATATACGTGACACCCGGCGTGAATGGGTTTAGGTTCAACAATGCAGCTGCAAAGTAGATTGAAAGCTCTTTTTCTTAAAACGCATTTAACCCAATGGTGACGGGTGAAGGGGGAAAAAAAAACTCTGGCGATCAATGGTACCATTCCGAGTTTGAGCGCTGGAGTTCGCTACATCAAGCAGAATCACCAGCTCACCGCGCTTTGGCATACAGCTGCACGCCACATTTCCAGTGGTTTGTTTTCACGCCTATCGGCATCACCTGTTGTGCAGGGGTTGAAGTACCTTGAGAGCCTTCAGGAAGTGTTGTCCAAGATGAAGTAAAAAAAAAAAAAACAAAAAAAAACGCCTTTTCTCCGTCCTCTACCGAAAGGCCCAGTCTCGGTGCTCCACATATCCTTGTGAAGTGCAGCACGTACCTTTTCCTGCAGTAGTGGTGATTATAGTTCCACAGCCAGCAATTTAGCAGGTTGCTGTTCCCACTGCTATGGGAGAAAGCCTAAATTATTCATCTTTAGGTACTGCCACTAACAAAGGTTACAGGTGGTTATCATTCCAATTTCTCAAAGTATCCTTTACTTCAAGCTTTGAACTGATATTACAAGGATAGGAGAAAAAGCAGTAAGAATAGAATTCTTGTCATATTTTGCAGATGATGCTGTGTACTATTAAAATGGTGTGATTTTCAGTTGGGCATGCGATTCAGTTGATCTGTTTTGGCCTGTTCTTCTTGGTAAAATTCCTTTTAAAGCTTGGAGAGAGCTAGAGTCCATTAGCAGACTTGTTAGATCCTATAATATATTCGAGGCCCCATTCCACCAACACAGCAGCACTAGATAGTCTTACTTAACTCCATACTTAACCCCACGTGCTGAGGTGCTCGATCTGTGGAGTGCGGCTGTACGCCACGGCAACACGCGAAAGTGCTATGAGCTCACTTGATATAGTAAACTCCCACACTCAAAGTCGGCTCGTTATTAATCTCCAGAGCGTAGTTTTTAAAGTTTCCTTAACCCAATAATCACTGTTGTTGCTCATAATGTCTATCACAACATTTGGTGAACAGATAAGTGTCTGAGCAGTTGCTCTTGTTACATCCAGGCTCTCAAGCCTTCATCCCTGTTGCTGGGAAAGGAACTCTTAACATGCTAAAACCTCACAATATGCAGTTAGCTTTGTTAATCTGTAGATATTATGAAACTGTAATTTCTATTCATTCATACAATATATCTACCATTTTTAAAGCCTTGAAAGATTATTAAGCTTTAACAAAAGCTACTTGTAATGTTCACTCCTAGTAATTGGTCATTACCAATGCACAAGTGAAAACTTTCTCATAAAGTGGATTGATATATTAAGTGTAACAAATTGTTTTTCAGGAAATCATCAGAAGGAAGAACTACATTGTGAAGCCTATTGGTGGTGCCAACAATGGCAATGCCCGTCGTGTCCTCCAGAACAAGAGGCCAGCCTACTATGCTGCTCAGTTGAACAAGAAATACATCAGCAAGAGGAAGCCCAAGTATGTAGAAAATGAGGGATTAGACTTTTCAAAAATGTAGAATATAATGTGTATATATAAACCTCTTGAAATTGTTCTTGTAGTTCTATGTGCCCTTAGCACCTTTTGAAGAATAAGCTTCTTTTTAGCAGTTTTGTATTTGTGATTGCTTGGGAAACATGTCTTGCAAGATTATGCCTACATGGTGAACTAATTATTGACTCTTCTCGCCAACCTAGGACCAACTTCAAGCGCCTCCGTCCTTCCATCACCCCAGGCACCGTGTGCATCATTGTTGCCGGTGTTCACAAGGGCAAGAAGGTTGTGTTCTTGAAGAGGCTGGTCAGCGGCCTGTGCTTGGTTACTGGTAAGTAGTTGATGCCATTAGAGGGTAAAG